CGCTCGCGGTCGATGCTGAGGCCACCATATCGCTGAGCACTCGCACTGTTGTTTGCAGCCTTACCAACAGAGGACCCTTGGGAGGTATTGTGTCCCGGGGTAACTAAGGCAACCTCAGAGTCCAAGTGTCAGAGTGAAAATATAGGGAAAACCGGCCGCTCTGGCAAAGAGCCCACGAAATACACAAGTGGGCTAAATGGACACTCACACTCTTTGATACATCCGTAAGAGTTCTGTTCGCTGCCGTGGCCTGCTTGATAATCTTCGCGATCGAGGCCCGACCATTCGAACTATCCGATGACAAAACCTGCCCTCAGTGGTGACACGGTAAGGCAAGCGTCACCCTTGATTACGTCGAGAAGGTCATCCACGCTGGGCGATGACTGCGAACTCGTAACGCCACCCAGTTGAATTGCAGTGGACCCAGACTGACCAGATGCTGAAAAATATAATGGAAAATCCACATAGCCATCCACACTCACTAGGCATGACTGTATATGCATCATCATGAATCGCACCACCAGGGGAAGGCGGCGGCGGAGGCGGAGGAGGAGGAGGGGGAGGAGGCGGAGGGTCCTCATCGGCCTCTAGTGCCGGAACGGATTCTGAGCTGATAAATACAATCACTTATAGAGGCGTTAACCATACCGCACCTTTGTCACAAATGGCGGGCTCCTGTGTCGATGGACCGACTCGGCTGGAAGGTGATTGAGCAGTAGGAGACTCCCCTTCGCTTTCCTCAGCCTCATCTTCTAATGCATCTCGGAGCTCTACCATGGCTTGATCAGCCAGCTCACGAGCCCGACCACTCAATCTGCTGAGCATAGTAAAACAATCGTGAAATGAGCAGGAACTGGATGAAGACCTCGGGAGGTCAGCATTAACCCATCGTCCAGTTGAAAATAAGTCAATTCATTGCTATCACTTTCACATTGGAGTTTCACCTGTGATATGAAAAACACTGGTGAAATAACATCTCACTATGACTGCATATCACCGCGCATATCGCGTTTTTCACCGAGTTTAACCGTAAATCTCAGTGAAAAACGCGATATTCGCGGCCTGTAGTAGTCATTAAATATGTTTTTCACTAGTGTTTCACTAGGGTGAAACTCCAATGAACATGCTATGGTGCAACTGATGGCTATTATCAACAACGTTGACTCTGAATTGTATGCAGACTGCCATGTAGTGATGTTATGACGATGCCTCACA